TTAAATCAGCTCTAGGAGGCATAGTCGCTGTGATTGAAATCAGTGGCTTAACCTGTCACAGATTACGGACGTGCTAAGAAATTTCAAAAAAAAGTTCATTTTGTCAAAAATCGCTTATTTCACAAAAACCGGCATCGGAACCACCTTTAGTGCACTAACAAAAAGTTATTTTAAAGTAAGTTTACTGTACAATATATCCCTTTCTAATTCCTAACGATGACCCTAATCCTAACATAACCGAGATTTAAAGAAATTTTGTTGCGCCACGAACCTGGCACTACGGGAGAGACCGTTGATGTTACAAGACTGATCCTTCACCCAGTGTGCAACATATAAAAAAATTATTTTACAATACCAGATCATTCCGTTAGTACATGTTATGATTATAATCCAACACCAATTTATTATAATAAAAATGGGGATTATAATCATAACATGTACTAGTGGAATGATCTGGTATTGCAAATAATTTTTTTATATGTTGAACACCGAGTGAAGGATCAATCGTGCAACATCCTGTAACCTGGCACACATTCAAGTAGTGCTTATACATGCCTATATATATTAGAATGCGTAGTCAGGTAGTCAGGTAGTGAATACTTCCGCTATCAAATCATAAATTTTTATCACGAGAACATCAATTATTCCATTTATTCCGATATCACCAAACAAAAAACCTTTTATCCAACCAAAATTTAATTTTCAAAATAATTTTTCAATTTCCAAAGATTATTACGCGATAAATAGCAAGATTTGATTGACTATAATTTATCATTCTATTCATTTTTTATTCCGTTTTATTCTTAATGCATGTATTCACCGTCCCTGTGCGTAGTGTTATAAGCATACTAAATCATGCATTTCTTTTATAGGGTATAATTTTTAAACGTAGTTTCTTTTAAACCAAAAAAAAGAATCAATTGGACGTCTTTTAAGATGTTTGCACCATTATTATCTACCGTACATTACTAATTAAGAGCAACGAAAACTTTAAAAAAGAGGCTTTTTCGTGCTAATATGAAGGAATTACTCATCGCTCATATTCAGATCAAAGTTGGTTTAATCGGAAGTAACGTGATAATTTCCCATAATTAATGTAAAAACAGCAAAGTAGCTTTATAACTGTAGTATATGAGAACCAGTTTACATTAAACCGTAGTGTATGAGAACCTGTTTACATTAAATTATTGGCAAAAAAAAGAAACCAATGTAACTTCTGCATCTTATATTTTAATATTTAAAAACGTATTACTACTTCATCACTTTTAACATCATTGATTAACTAAATTACAAAGTAAATACATATGTTTGATTTACATAATATATCGCACTCCAATTGTTCATGTTTAATTTATTAAATTGATCTCGTCATTCTGACGACAAAATCTGATAGGAAACTTCCATAAAAAACTTTTATGAATTGCACGAGTTTTTAATTTTCACATTTACGTACATTATAGCACACGCTTTTCAAATTGAAACTAATCATGGGTAAATAATCGTGGTGTTATTTTTTTTCAATCGTATCCGTGTTTATTAATTATTAATTATTGTACGTATTTAACTTTTCAGGACTCTTTGATTTCTTCGGAGGACATCACAACGATGTATACGGTGAAAAGAAACACAAGGGGCATCTTACTCATGAAATAATCGTTGGAGCCGCAGCTTTTGAAGCCATGAGGCACTTTGAAAAAAAGTATGAAGAAAAAACTGGACAAAAAGATAAATTTGCCTTTGCTAAAGAGGTGTGTATCATTCCGCAATTTACTGAATTATTTATATTTAGTATGAAAATTTTATTTAGTATGAAAATTTTATTTGTAATTTTATAACAATAGGCACTCGTAGCATTGGCTGCTGCTGAAGTGGAAAAACTTATTGAGACAAAAGGTCTAGATTCTTTTGATAAAATGAAAGCAAAAAGGCACGCACAAGAGGCTGCCGAAAAATTATATGAAGGTAAATAATTTAATTCTTAACTGGCTTATATGTAATATTAAAAAGCTGGTTTAGTTAACTTTTCTTTTTTCTAGAAAAATATTGTAGATGTTAATTTTCATTAGGTATAACTGTATATTTGACATATATACTATGCAACATTTATGAGTCCGGCCTTTTTACAATAAACTAAATTGCTTTGCATGATATTCCATACTATTTTCAACTGATATTTAGTAGCTTGTTCTTACCTCAGTAATTTAATGTCTTAGAAGCTGTCAAATTTCAATCAACCATTACTTTCATAGGATAACATTCATCTGATTTTCTGATGTCTTTATATCTTTTAAAGTACGTGCATACGTACGTACTTTTTTAGGAACGTAACGTTTCGCTAATAAAAAAATCAGCGTAAAAGCAATTCAACCTTTAAGGCTTAGTTTATAAGAAACGTACCCGGTCGTTCAGTGGAATATTTAAATTATATCAGGAACGAATGCATTGAATGCATGGCTTTTACGGAATTTTGAAATGTTCTGTTATAAAATTGTCTGTTCGATTATAAAGTTTGCCTCTCTATATCACAAATGAGTGACGAAACGAGAAAACCTGTAAATCATTTCACTCATTGAGTGAGATGATTTACAGGTTTTCCTTTTTCGTCACTCAAATATATCTGTATAAACCATACCTTCATGTTATGCTAAATATAATGCTTCATTTCTGGTAGTATATTTAATTATTTTGGAGTTGGGTAAGGTTTAATTCTTATTAGTTGTATATATAAATATAAGATGCTGGTGATATTGCTATTGCATTATAATAGAAGTTGGGGTTAACCCGATTTAATATTAGAGATGGGCAAGGTAATTAATTATTACGTCGTAGACGAGTCAGTCGCTCCACAATTGGATTTCTCGTGTAACCACTTGAGAGGGTCGAATAAGGCATGTTAGATTTGGCGAGTGGTTAATATGGTATTAGTCGAGTTTTATGGCGAATGTTTTGGGTTCAATATTGGGTAGAGTACTAGCGTACTTTATGTAATAACAAGTTAGGGTCAGATTACGTAGTATGGGTGAGTATTATTTATAATAAAGTAACCAGTTTTAATATTTTTTATAAAGTGATTATGAGTGATATGTATTATGTACTGTTTTACTCGTGAAGGAGTTGTTCTTCTTGAAGGGTCTTTAGACTTTTATAATAATTACAAAAACTTATTTACATTTTTGATTAATATGACCGATATCACTGATGTGATTGATGCATCATATCCTACTAATATCTTCCAAAATACCTTTCTGACTGATCGTTGATATCTGTCACATCCGTTAGATGCAACTGATCAGTTACATGTAATAAATGCGATTGACCTTTTCTCTAATTTAGTAATGGACTTCCAAATGGTAGGATCTATTTAGGTCTCACAAAGTAAAAAATCAAATCACATTAAGCAACAATTTAATAATATATAATAACATGCAAATTTGTTACATTGTGTAATTTAACTTTTATATAATAAGTAATTATCTTACATATTTCTATTTATTATTAAATCAGTCTTATAATATCTTAATCTAATTGTAAAATTCAAACAACCTAGTTTATTTCAAGCATGTTATAAAGCATTTTATTTTATTGTGAATTGATTTAATTGAAGAAATATTAAAATTTTACATGAATAAAGTAAAGATTTTGGTCAATAAGGATTATTGTTAATTAGCTAATTAAATTATATTATATTATATCATGTGAGTTAATTACAATTACAGATTAAAGAGGATGGTGATTCTAGTGTAATGGTTGGGTTTTCATTTTCCAAGTGGCAGGTCTAAGGTTTAAATCCCACCTATGATGAAATTTGGAAATTAATTTGTATTACAAAAAACTGTCTCTTGTCAATCAATTAGATTTAGGTATCTGTAACCTTGGGTATAACCAATCAGGTTTTACTTATCATTGGAAACCTGGAACATCTATGTGAAGTGTAATATTAATAACCAATGTCATATAAGACTTTAGTGTAAATTTATAATAAGATCATCAGATGTAAAAGACCAAGAAACTGAGAAGATGGAAGCTTACTTGGAAATTTCTGAGAAAGAAATAATATAAATTTTTGATAGTGTTATCAAACTGATAGAAGACTAGGAAATCCAAATAAGAAGTAGGCAAATATAATAGATAGAAAGATATATAGAGAAACACATGATCAACCAATTATCAGAATTGTTAGAAGAAAATAATATTAAGATATATTACATTAGGTTATCTGAATTGGAAATCAGAAGAGTTTGTTAGATTCTGAGTTAGATAGTAGAAGGATAAAAAAAAGAAGTCAGAAAGATTAATACTGGAATTTGGGTGAACTTTATAAGAGTAGAAATAGTGTAATATAGTAGTTAAATAGATAATCTTTGTAACTGCAAGTATTAGATAACTATAACATGTTATATAAAACTAGGTCAGCTATGTATAGGACATGAAAGACTCTAGTAATGATGCTTCTGAGTAGGGATGCAGGCAGAACTCTCCCAATGAACCATATGACATATGGCAAGTTATGGTTACAGTTACGACAAAATCATAAGAATCCCAAATGCCATATGAATTCAAAAATACTATATTGATATTGATATTCAAATTAATGCATCTAAAATTGTACCAATCCATTATTTAATTAATCAATACTATATCGATATACAATCCTGTAAATAATAGTCATCATAATAAATATATATGTAATTAATATGTAAATAATCATATGTAATATAATAATAAAAATTGTTTATATTTTATTATTTTATTTCCTTGAATTATTTTTAGTGAAAGTTTTTTATAATGAATTTAAGCCAGGATTTTATTTTAAAAGATAATAATTATGATTTATGCTCTTAATTATCTGAACTAAATTATAACATTAATCAACTTTTTACTTATCAATCCTCTCAACAATTACCAAGATTGCACAGGTTGAACAAATAAATAAAGGGTGAATAATAGGTAAATAACAGAAAAAAAAACTGCCATTATTCTACCCTATATTCGCCAAATAATGGCAGCATAACAGTAGCATAACAGCAAAATAATAGTAAAATAATAGGAGGTTTGTTAATATGAATAACATAATAGTAACATAATAGCAAAATAATAGAACAATTCTATTATTTTACTTTTAGTTACAAAGACTAAAAGTAAAATAATGGAACTGTTCTATTATTTTGCTATTATGTTACTATTATATTACTTATATTAACAAACCTCCTGTTATTTTACTGTTATTCTGCTGTTATGCTACTGTTATGCTGCCATTATTTGGTAGACATAGGGTAGAATAATGGCAGTTTTTTTTTCTGTTATTTACCTATTATTCACCCTTTATTTATTCATTTGACTTGTGTTGCTTCAAGAGTCTAATGAAATTATTGTGTCTACTCAAGTTAATAATAATCGAGATGCCTTATCTGGAGAAGAAAGCTCCTCTGATTAACCTAAAAAAAAATGTTATGTGGGCCCAAACTAGATCTAGTCTGGAATTATATAGATATCAGTGATCATTTAGGAGATGGGCATTACAAAGCAAGTTGTAGGCATTGTCAAATTGCATGGACTTGTGGAAAACCACAAATTCTTAAATGACATTTGGTACGAGAATATGTAAATGTTCCTCAAGAAATTAAAGAAATATGGCATGATAATTTAGCAATAGAGGAAAAAACTATTAAGAGACAGAATAAAATTGAATCTAGGTTAGGGTTGTTTTCACAGTTTAATATTTCTAATCAAGAAATAATATCTGAAGAAAGACAGTGACAAATAGACAGGGCTATTTTAAAGAGTTGGATTTGTGCTGGAATTCCATTTGAAACTATAGATAACCTATTTATTATTGATATGTTCAAAACTTTAAATATTGGATACAAACCTCCTTTACAGTTTACTCTTGCTGAACGCATTCTGGATGAAGAAATTGCTAAGGTTGAAAAGTCAATTAATGCTGAATTAAAAGATAAAATAAATTTGACTTTAAGTAAATATTTTTTTAATATTCGAAATAGCAATTGTAAATAAAAATTATATTGTAATTTTAATCTTTAATTTTTTTTTAACAAATATATTTTTAGCTCTTGATGGATGAACTGCACCTACAGGTGCATCATTTTATAATTATATAATCACAACTCTTAGTCAACATGAGCATTTATTTCAAATTAAGGATTACTCTACTATATCACAAACAGGAAATTTTTTAGCTGAAGAAATTAATAATATATTAAATAAAGTTGGGCCAGAAAAATTTGCTGCAATTGTTACTGATCATGGTTTGAATATAAGGCAAGCAAGACGACTAGTTAATAAGCAATTTAATTTTATTCTTGATGTATAATGTGGTACACATGCAATAAATCTAATAGCATCAAATTTAGTAAAAGTGGATGAAATTAAAAATTTAATCAAACAATGTGGATCTATAGTAAATTTTTTTCATCACTTATCAATAGCAAATGGCTATTTAAAGAAAGGTATAGCTACTATGAGTATTGAAGGTGGTGAACTCAAGACATATTGTAAAACATAATAAAGATTACTTTATATAACTGTAGACTCTATAATTCGTAGACAGCCTGTGTTTGATTGGGTAAACTTATTATTTTTAATAAATAAAAATTAATATTGTATTTAATTATATTAACTAATAAATTTATATCTTAGCTTATTAATAATTATGCTGTTACAATCTCTAACAAGACAGTTTTCGACTTAATTCAAAATCATGAATTTTTTAACCAATGTTGTCAAATAACATCAATATTAAAACCTATTAAGGACATGGTATATCAATTGGAAAGTTAACATGCTACTATTGCTGATTGTTATGTAGTATTGATTAAAATAGCTGCAGCTATAAACCATCTTCCTAATATTAACTTATTTAAGTCTAAAGCCATTAAAATTTATAATTCACGGTTTAAACAATTTGCAACGCCATTGTATCAGCTTGCCTATTACTTACATCCTTTATATCAAGGTAATTATATATAAGCTAATATATATGTATAGTATATATAATTATTTAATTATTTTAATTTTTTTTATATTTTTAGGTATTGG